TTACAGGGGAGGGGGGAAGTTATTGAGCATCTTGTGGAAGATCAGGCCTACACCTATCTTGGAATGCAAGTTCGAGACAAGCTCCAGAATGCCCAAATTCAAGACAAACTTCGGGCCGAGTACAAATCTCGCTTAAAGATAATCGGGAGCTCAGGGCTAAATGATCGGAACAAGGGCAAGGCCACCAATGCTTTTGCTGTGCCAGTCCTCACCTATTCCTTTGGAGTAGTTGATTGGACAAAACAAGACATTCAGAGTCTTGACCGCCTCACCAGAAGGATCATGTCTGATAACAGAGCCCACCACCCTCTTTCCTCTCTCAACTGTATATATATGCCAATCAATTCTGGAGGTCGGGGTTTGATTAATGTGATTGCTCTTCATGATAGAATTATTTTGTGTACTTTTGCACATCTTTATTTATCGGATGATCCTCTGGTGATGCATGTCAAGACTCATGATGAAAGCAAAGACTTCCACAGCTATTTTAAGCGTGCCAAGGTTGTTGGACAGAATCTAAAATTTGAGGTTGATTTTGCTGATGGCGATGTACTGCCGGACGGTACAGCGATGGGAGTAAACCAGGTGAAGTTCTTCACCAAGTCTGCCCAGAGTCGGTCATTTGTGGAGAAGCTTTCTGAGAAGCCATTGCATCGTGTGTACATGCAGTGTGTGGAACAGAATAGCAATCTGGATGAAGTCGGCTGGTCTTAAATGTGAAACTGAGGGCTTCTTTTTTTGCTGCTCAGGACCAGTCACTTCCTACTCGTAATCGCCAAAATGTGATTCTTAAACAAAATATCAATATGAAATGTCGACTATGTAATGAATTTACAGAGACTGTCCAACATCTTGTCAGTGGATGCCCTTCTTTGGCATAAACAGCATATCTTAAACGACATGATGGCATGGCTCGTTGCTTTTACTACCGTCTCCGCCGTGTCTGTGGCTTTGACTCCGAGGTCCATCCATGGTACGACCCTGAACATGTCCAGGGTGTCATGGAAACTGATGCTTTCAAACTTCTGTGGAATAGGCCCATATACAGACTCAGAAGAATTCCAGCCAACAAACCTGATCTTGTCCTTTTTGATAAAGCCAATGAATTTATTTATATCATTGAATTTTCTGTCCCTTTTGACAGCAATGCGATTGGCAAGATTCAGGAAAAGCATGATAAATATGCGGACCTCGCCTTTGAAATGTCTCGCTTGCATCCCAAGTACACTGTTGTGGGGGCTCCCCATTGTTCTTGGTGCCCTTGGTTTGGTACCTCCTGATCTCTTGGCGCAATGGCAGTGCCCGGGTTCTCCACCGGGAGCACAGCCCTTCTGACACTCTGGGTAATGCAGAAGGCTGCAGTATTGGGGAGCCTTCATATTCTCCGGAAAGTTCTTGATTGGTTCGCATAGGCAGTGTTTCCTGGGAGAAGTACCATTCGCTGTCTGGGCTGCGTGTAGAGCGGGCAAGGGCCCTGAGCTGATGATAAGCCTTACCAGCCTGACTGTGCCAGGATCACCCGAACCCTCTCTGCTGCATTTTCATCTTTAATCTGTTAAACATAATAGTGGCAGGTAGAAATGATGACTAAAGTATGCTGAACTGAAATTACAAGATTTGTAGTTAAGCCACTGTCACACTTTTGCGTATATCAAGTGCTCATACATGAGTTCCGTATAAAAAAAATTCAATACGCAGCCCGTACGCTCAAAATTGTGACATTTTTCGATTACTTTGACTTATGTGTGACGCACATCTAGCATAAATAACGAATTCAGCGCATCCATTGCGTGTGACGTGCGTATGATTTGCGTGACACTATTTATCTTGCCGCGTATTCCCGATTTATTAAAAAGGCGACTGTTTCCCAACGTATCGTGACCAGTGCAGGTTCCGTAGCGTGAACATCAACCTTTTGTCATCATGGGCCGCCCGAGCCATCATATTTATACCATATCTTGAGTGTACCCCAACTCAGGATAAACGGTACTAATTCATGCAATACGTCGGCATTCGCTAGGGATTCGTTCAGCGTGCGTTAAATCTGCGCTGCAAGGACGCTTTGTATACGTCCAATATACGTGGCTCATAGCTCGTGCTGGGAGATCAGCGTATTGCTGCGTACAAAAAAAACTTACACAAAACTTACATTGAGATACACATTATGTGCGAATAGTGCGTACGACTGCGTATGAAAGAAATGTCTCATAAGGAATTAGGATACGCAGAAGTGTGACAGGGCCCTTTGATTGAAGTTTCACCTATGTACCATTGTTGGAAATGGCACTCCTGAATCTCATCTGAAAACAGTTTCAAGCAATAACAGATGCTCGGATATATACAATATATTTATATTCTATAGAGAACCTCACCCAAGTGTCTACTGATATCAGTTATATCAACACGAGTTGATAAAGTTACAAATATCCGAGGCTTGTCGGGATATTTTTACTTGTATCAACGAGTGTTGATACATTTGATATCAGTAGACACGAGGGTGAGATTCTGTTTATCATCATAAATCACCCTTCATTACTTTTCAATGAAAAATGTACATCTCCGAACACCGTACTGTCATAAGACTTGCAGTGCAGTGATGTCATAACATTGTGACGTCATCAAGTTTATGACGTCATAGCATTGTGATGTCATCAGGTTTTTGACGTTATAGCATTGTGAGTCATGTAATGGAGGATGTCAAAGCATTGTGATTTCATGTAATTGATGACGTCAGGGCATTGTGCAAAATCTACTGTCAAAATGATATCTCCCAGGAGGTATCGTTTGATCTCACACAGGCAATATCTGCAATGGAACACAGTTTGTATGTTTAAGCCCTGGCGAAAGTTGACGAACTTCTCATTCTACAAGTGTTTCATTTATCATAGTCAGTTGAATATGACGAGAGAGAAACGAAAATTAAGATCGTGAAATCGAACTTCTGTTCTCTAGTAAGATCACCGAATGTGATGTCACAGACAGGGGCTGTCTGCTAAAATATATATTGAATGTTAACAGTAAATTTCGTCTGTCAAATCCAAATGTAACACAAATCACTATTTAGTATGATTAATCTTAGCCCATAGGAAAAATACATGGCGAGTTTGACTATATGATTGGTATATCACAGAACCCGTGACCCAGAACTTTTACTGATGTTGTTTGTGTTTTTTTAATTGTTTTGTTTTTTCATAAAGCTTGTTTGCTTGTTGTTGTTATTGTTTGGTTTGTTTGTTGTTTTTTTGTTCTGTTTTTCGCTTGGTTTTGTTTTTTTGTTTGTTTTGGGGGGTGTTTTTTTTTGGGGGGAGTGTTTTGTTTTATTGATGGTTTTGTGGGGGTCTTCTTTTTAGTTTTGTTTGCTTGTTTGTTTTGTTTTGGTTTGTTTTGTTTTGTTTTGGGGAAGGGGGTGGGAGTTGTTTGGAGGGGGGTGTACTGGGAAGTCACTTTGTAACAACGTTAACAGATTTCGGCAAATGATCGGCCTTAACAACAGGTGCGCGGAATTGGGCGTTTTGTGTTTCAAAATAACATTCAAACCGAAACACGAGTCTCAGTAGCCTATTCAGACAATGACCTACTTTTCAGCCGATCCGAATCTTCTCGTGTGAAAGTGAAAAGAGACACCACAAACAACTATGGTTACACTGAATTCCAATTTCTTGTTTCATAAGAAAATAGTATTTACAAGTCAATCTTAATTTTAAACTTTAGAAACATCGTATTTCTATATTTTATGGCGAGGCGTGGGCAGCATGACCTTAACTAAGACGTCACAGACTGCCCCTGAGGTCGTAAAATGATTCACAATTCATTTGGCTTACTGGTTACACCTGCTATGTGTGTTTTTGCGTTTATTTAGTGTAGTTTTGTAACTCACAACGTGATTGATATAATATCAAGTCCGTACCAGAACGCCAAACTTTTCTAGCGGCAGAGTATCGTTTTGAGATTTCCACGACTTCCAGATTTCCGTTTGTCAGAGCACGCTGTACGAAAGAGCACGCTGCACGACGTGTTTGCAAAGATTAGAAGGAGCGTAGTGTTGCAATATACAAGTGCTTAGATGTTTCAAATAATACTGATGAATATTTATGTATCCAGTTGAATGAATTTGTCTTAAAAGTCTGGACTGGTTATTGTACTAAGTTGCGCAGTAGGACGGAACCCAGTCATCAGGAAACGAGACTGTTGTGTAAACAATGTTTTGACGTAATGCTTTTCTTATGATGCATATGTATTAAATCATATACTAAAATATAGTATCAATTATAGTTTCACATGAAATTAGGGATGATTTAATAAATTGTGCATTCGTATTACATGTATGCCAAATTTATACGTCTCAGAACAATTTAAATTACACATATATATTTATGGAATTAATTAAAATCCTTGGTGAATATTGATAGATAGATTTGGCAATGCTTAATGTTTCACAGATGTTTACAATTAAACATTTCCATATATTAACAAATGTTAATTGTTATTAATAATATGATTAGTCTATTTCTCTTCCAAACGGACATGGGAAAAGACTCTCTCAGCACAGTGTAAACAACCAATCTTCAATTACTGTCTTTCAGTGAGTAACTATTTGACATAATTATTTAATAATATTATACCATAAAATATATGGATAGATGTTTCATGTTATTGTGTGTATTTTGTTTCCAAAATCTTACTAAAACATACCTTAAATACAGATGTGATGAACTATTTTGTTTCTCAACAGTAGTTTATTGTTTTGTGAATCATTTTCAATCATTATTAGCTGGGGTCAGTTATGCTTAAATACTACCTTGAAAATGTCAAACAAGACATAAATTCTACCTGGAAAATGTCAAACATGACATACATACTACCTGGAAAATGTCAAACATGACGTAAATACTACCTGGAAAACTTCAAACATGACGTAAATACTACCTGGAAAATGTCAAACACGACGAGATTATTACCTTACTGATAACCTCTCTGAAAATATAAGGATAAAGAATAGAGTGTTTTCTGCGTTTATTTAAAAAGGTACAAGCATCTGTATAATTCTGGAAATAGACGCTTTGGGTATTGTATAACAGGTTGGTCAAAGCATGGTTTCAGCCGGATCCAAGTAGAACTGAAACACAGGAGACAACTATGAACAACAAAGGGAGTGTGGGTTTACGTCACTTCTCATGTTACAGTTATGACAAGGTGTGCTGCATTGGAGGAAATCACGGGGTGATGCACGTCGGGGACGTTTACGAAGTCGATGAGATTCATGACCAGTGATATGGTGCCAAAAGTCCGTCCTCACGGTGCGACTTGTAGTAACAATTTGTAGTATCTACATGGATGTAAACATCGTATATAGATTAGTTGATACGACTTGGAATCTCTCACGATGATCTTGTCGTTTTCAAGCGAGGTGGCGTCACCAAACGACGAGGAGATGATGGCGTTAATTGCTGTATATTTGGCAAAGGAAAAGGAAACACAAATCCGTTTTGGTTAGGCAGTGGCTACTGCGCAGACCTACCGCCAGCGCCTCCATGTTTACAAAGGGAGTGAATTCTTCTCTGACTGTTTCGATGTTTCTGATTGGTCAAATCCACACGATCCGTCGCACGAAATAGGGAAGTTTCTATTTCTCTCAACTCGCTTGATACGACAAGGGTGTTCTCACGTTGCAACTCCGGTCGCTTCTACACGTAGTTACTACAAATCGTGCCATGAGAATGGACCTTAACAAACCAGTCATCAAATTGGGCTAATATTGGGATTGAAACCCAGAGTTCAAGATTGGAACACCAAACTTATTCTATCTTAATGCTGCATCTCCACTGTCTTATTGTAAGGAGCTGTACGTGCTAACCGTTCCTTATCTGACTTGCAGCCAATTCATGGGCTGTGATGTAATCACAATTTGAATTTACATTCAATTGCTACCTGTCTGCCTGGTATGATGGCTCACAGACATCGACATTTTCTTATGTTGATCTTACTCATTACAGGTAAGCCCTCTCCTTGTATATTAATTGTACACATATCTGTAATTGCTAGTAACCCGTGAAGATCCGGGTTAGAATTGGTCTTCAGTAACCCATTCTTTTCGTAAGAGCGACTAACGGGATCGGGTGGTTGTCACGTATCCCAATTGCGTAGATCGATGCTCATGCTGTTGATCACTGGATTGTCTGGTCCGGACTCGATTATTTAGATTATTTACAGACCGCTGTCATATAGCTGGAATACTGCTGAGTGCGTCGTTAAATACCAATCAAACAACCATCTAATTGCTAGTATAATAACTATTTGTAATATTTTACGTCTAAGACGCGGCCGGGGATTGAACCCGCGACCTTCTGCTCTCCGGACGGACGCTCTAACCGCTACACCTCAGAGGCGGTAGACGGGGTGGGAGTGGTGGGTTTTGGCTGTACATGCCACACACAGACACAGAAACCCACCCCAAACTCACCTCCTCTGCCCACCCGAAGCGGATTAATGGGGCGCCATGATAGGTAGAACACCAAATGTAAGCACTTACCCCTCGAACAGTTTTTTCGAAATCAGCTCTGGTAACGTTCCCTGAAAAATAAGTAATAGTAAGTTTCTTTCAAAAGACAGAGTGCCTGGGTTGTGGAGAAACAGGTGTTTGCTTTCCTGCTTGCGGACGGTCAACAATATCTGTTTTCAAGAAGAAACATTCTTCTCATGCTCACATTCATCCGAGACAAGTCAACATTGAAGATTAGGAAACATGCTAGAGGTTACCAACGACTCCATTCACGACCGAGACTCGCCTCCAGGACAAGCCCACTGGCTTCATTCAGATTACTGAACTATGCGAGTTAAAACTTGGTCTAACCATTTCAAGGGGCGTAACTCTTAATTCTAGTGTGGTAATAAGCTGAGGTTAACAAATACGAAGGGGACATAATATAAGTAATTTGAGTCGCCTTTCGATCAGATGCTTGTACTGGTTCATAACCGAACAACAATATTTGGATGTGTAATATTGGTGGGAGCCCACCCAGGGGCGGATCCAGAGGGGGGTGCGCACCCCCGCCTCTCACCCCACTCCTCCTTTCTCCAAAATCCTGGATCCGCCCCTGACACTCCTGATTAAGGCCGGTATAAGATGACATCTCAACAGTTAACATTGCAATGTGGTTATAACGAATCAAATCGTTCGTTGGGTTCGCTTTCGCTAGAAAGGGCGACGTGTTGTCATTGATGACAATTTGGATGCTTTGGTTATTACTGAATCATGGTTGGGAGAAAAAGGAGATGACTCGCTAATTGCTGAAATGACTCCTAGCGGATACAAGTTGCTACATGGTCCTCGGAGGCATACTACTGGAGGTGGAGTGGCAGTTATTCACAGGACATCACTTATGATAAGAATTATTGATACTTCAATCTCTGTGTATGATTCCTTTGAACTAATGGAAGTGTTGATATCATATTCCAAAGTCACTCTTAGGGCAGCTTGTCTCTATAGACCCCCTACATCAAATGCAAACAAGATTCGTATGTCACAGTTTTATCAGGATATTACTTCTTTTCTAGACGACCATTTACAAAAGTATATGGTATTGTTCAGCTCTGCTGCATGTGAATGTTCCTACACATAAATATGGCCACGTCACTGACAAGGAGTGACTGTGAGTTGATAAATAGATTCTCTGTTGAAGATAAACAGTTGTCGGATCAATCTTTCACTTTCCGGTCCTCCGATCGAGCACGTTGATGTCACGTGTCGGAATCTTAAAGACATTGATACGCTTTCATTTCCCAGTGACCTGAGAAAATCAAAACTTGTCTCTGATCCTCCAGAAGATCTTGATGACTTGTGTGACACTTATAATTACACCTTGAAAACATGCTCCCCCTTGCACAAAGAAATTTACAAAAAACAAGTACTCCTTGGTACAACCATGATGTTCTAGCTGAAAAGAACATTCGTCGTAGAACAGAACGTGAGTGGAGGAACTCACGTTTGGGGGTTCATCGACAGATATTTCAAAATGCAAGAAATGCTGTAACTCAACAGATTCGGAGAGCAAAAAGTGAATATTGTGCATCTAAGTTTACAGAATGCAAGGACTCATCCAGTGCTCTATACAACTGTATCTTTGAGTTATAGAATGCAAGGACTCATCCAGTGCTCTATACAACTGTATCTTTGAGTTATAGAATGCAAGGACTCATCCAGTGCTCTATACAACTTTATCTTTGAGTTATAGAATGCAAGGACTCATCCAGTGCTCTATACAACTTTATCTTTGAGTTATAGAATGCAAGGACTCATCCAGTGCTCTATACAACTTTATCTTTGAGTTATAGAATGCAAGGACTCATCCAGTGCTCTATACAACTTTATCTTTGAGTTATAGAATGCAAGGACTCATCCAGTGCTCTATACAACTGTATCTTTGAGTTATAGAATGCAAGGACTCATCCAGTGCTCTATACAACTTTATCTTTGAGTTATAGAATGCAAGGACTCATCCAGTGCTCTATACAACTTTATCTTTGAGTTATAGAATGCAAGGACTCATCCAGTGCTCTATACAACTTTATCTTTGCGCTGATGGGCAGAAAGCCCTCCAGCAAATACTAATGATGTACTTGTTGAAAAGTTCGATAATTTCTACACGGATAAGATTGACAAGATACGTCAAATTTCCAAGAAACTTTTTCAGGGGAAAACTCCGACGCTGATCATGTACCGGTTCAGTTTGTGGGAGAAAAACTGGACGTACTTGAAGCTTTCTCTGAACAAGATGTCCTCTCTTTTATCAAGTCTAGTAAGCCAACCACGTGCAGCCTTGATCCTATTCCTACAAAGATCCTGCTGACTTACAGGGACTTACTTCTTCCAGTCATCACCAGGATTGTTAACCAGAGTCTCAAGTCTGGAACAGTTCCTAAGGTTCTTAAAGAGGCAGTTGTAGGTCCGCTCATTAAGAAACAAGGACTTGATGACTCACTGTTCAGTATAAAGTGCTTGCACTGGCCTATCAGTGTTATCACCAGTCAGCACCTTCCTACCTGTCAGGAGTCACACAGGCCTACCACCCATCTAGAGTCCTCCGATCTGCCCAACAACATCTCTTCTCTGTTCCAACCCCACGGCTGAGACGATTTGGTCAGAGATCATTTACTTACAATGCCACCACTCTCTGGAATACAATTCCGGATCATCTTAAAGGAATCCCTACTCTCCAAATGTTCAAAGACAGTCTCAAAACATTTCTCTTCACTCAGTTCTATAGACTCTAATCATTTCTAGCCGCTATCTCTTAACCTGGTGATGTCAGAATCTCTCATGTAGCTCTATGAGCATGCACTTTGTGTCTGGGTTTGGCGCATTATAAATGTACTTATTATTACTATTATTTACTTAAACAGGTTCTTTCTTTGTCCTGTACCTGTTTGTCCTTAATGAGTCAAACTGGATGTGTCGAATGTCGAGTATTTCGAATACATTTACCTTTTGGAGCGCTACCTTCAGTTGTGTTGCATATGTCAGATTCAACAAAGGACATCGTATATCTCGAACATCATTTAGTGTTCGCCCTACTCATCTTTATTTCACTATACATCGACTTACATATCAGCGTCCGTTTGTGGGGGGTGGGATAAAACCTGCTGTTTGAACGAGTGTGGTTCACTATTGACGATAAAGTATACCTTTATCTGAGATCGATAAGACTAACACGGCTTATTGATTGGTTTAAAAACACGTGATAATGACAATGAATTAATCTCGTTTCGCTTCCTGTTTTCGTATAGGCATCGTTTTAATGGCATATACATGTATGCAGATGATGAAGAAATTATAAATTCTATTGTTTTCATATACGGACCCCCTAACGAAGAATATATACTTACTTGCATTCCCTCTCATTGTCTTGAAGCTAAGAGATGTTTTACCCTCTGCTATTCTGTTGAAAATATCGACCGCCTTGTCCGGGGTGTCACCATAGCGACATGACCACACAGCTGCCCACTCGAACTGGGAGATGCTGCAGTCGTCTGAAATAGACACAGTTCTGGAGAATGGTGTCACTCATGTGTACATACAATCTTACAGACACTGGATCAACTCAAGCATGAGGGAAATCCAAGTTCTATGGATAGTCAACTTCTTTATTCCAATGAGTGCGACGTTTCGGTGTAGATGCTAACACCGTTCTTAAGCAAGTGATGACTAGCAAGCAAGTTGACTATCCACAGAACTTGGTTTTCCTTAAAGGTCACATGCAACGTAAAACACAGCTTTGCAGATTCTGATACCTTTCGGTATGGACTTACCGAAACAAATCATCAATAATGCAAATTCAACTTATAAAGTTGAAAAATAACGCGATGAAAAAAACGCGCGAAATCGGAGTTCAAACGATTCACTAATTTCCCCCCAGCGCTTGGGGGAAAAAGTGGTTTCAACAGCTGGGCTGCGCTCATAGCACATGCGCAGGGAGGGAGGGAAGGGAAAATGTGAAATTAACCAATCATCCATTTTAGTGCAAGCGTCAAACACTGTCGGTAAACGTTACCTCCCCGACTACATCTATTCCTCCCTATCATGTCCAGTTGTGAAAGAGGGAGATAACTCGTTCCACCGCCAGGCGTCACTGAGGATCCTCCCTTGACGTCCAGTGGTGAAAGAGGGAGATAACTCGTTCCACCGCTAGGCGTCACTGAGGATCCTCCCTTCAGGTCCAGTTGTGAAAAAGGGAGATAACTCGTTCCACTGCTAGGTGTCACTGACGATCCTCCCTTGACGTCCAGTTGTGAAAGAGGGAGATAACTCGTTCCTATGCTAGGCGTCACTGAGGATCCTCCCTTCAGGTCCAGTTGTGAAAGAGGGAGATAACTCGTTCCACCGCTAGGCATCACTGAGGATCCTCCCTTGACGTCCAGTTGTGAAAGAGGGAGATAACTCGTTCCACCGCTAGGCGTCACTGAGGATCCTCCCTTGACGTCAAGTTGTGAAAGAGGGAGACAACTCGTTCCACCGCTAGGCGTCACTGAGGATCCTCCCTTGACGTCCAGTTGTGAAAGAGGGAGATAACTCGTTCCACCGCTAGGCATCACTGAGGATCCTCCCTTGAGGTCAAGTTGTGAAAGAGGGAGATAACTCGTTCCACTGCTAGGCGTCACTGAGGATCCTCCCTTCAGGTCCAGTTGTGAAAGAGGGAGATAACTCGTTCCACCGCTAGGCGTCACTGAGGATCCTCCCTTGACGTCCAGTTGTGAAAGAGGGAGATAACTCGTTCCACCGCTAGGCGTCACTGAGGATCCTCCCTTGACGTCAAGTTGTGAAAGAGGGAGATAACTCGTTCCACCGCTACGCATCACTGAGGATCCTCCCTTGACGTCCAGTTGTGAAAGAGGGAGACAACTCGTTCCACCGCTAGGCATCACTGAGGATCCTCCCTTGAGGTCCAGCTGTGAAAGAGGGAGATAACTCGTTCCACCGCTAGGCGTCACTGAGGATCCTTCCGGTGCGTGCCTGTAAAGTACGCCCCATCTGATTGGTCGACGTTCCAGCGTGCGCCTGTCTGTAAGGACGTTACATCTGATGGGTCGATGTTCCAGCGTGCGCCTATCTGTAAGGTCGTCACTTCTGATTGGACTACGTTCCCTCAGACCAGAAGCCCGCAGCCTCCTTCTGATGCTACTGTGGAGAGATAAACTCCCACTCTCCATTGCCGGCACAGTTGTTGGTCATGGGTCGTGAGATTACGTCTTGCCAAAAACGAAATAGGACTCATCTCGGTCATTGGTGGTCCCAAATCTCCAGGTCTTGGACGATACTTCACGTCACCGGAGGCCACGCGCTTCCTCACACGTCGACTAACATCCATGACGTTAATGTTTATGTTAGCACCGATGTTGCGACACAACAACCCTGCGTCATTCATGCCAGTACCTTGTTATCGTGTACTTTCTGAAAATCAACCTCTTATCACTAAAAGCTCTGTAGCCCTGTCGTATTTTAGTAAGTGAGTGAGTTTGGTTTTACGCCGCACTCAGCAATATTCCAGCTATATGGCGGCGGTCTGTAAGTAATCGAGTCTGGACCAGACAATCCAGTGATCATCAGTGTGAGCATCGATCTATACAATTGGGATATGATGACATGTGTCAACCAAGTCAGCAAGCCTGACCACCCGATCCCGTTAGTCACCTCTTAGGTTAGTAGCCTGAAGATCAGTTATAACCCGGATCTTCACGGGTTGTCGTATTTCAAAGCTGTTGAGAAAACTACAGTAGACATGCTGCAATTGTGAAAATTCTACCCCAATGACGTCTTCTCAGAACACGTGACCCATAAGTTTGGGGATATTGTGCGAAGCACGTGCTTTACATGTGCAATCCAGTATGCTGGAGTAAGATCGCCTGTTTAGACCAAATGTTTAAAAATTGCCCTTCGATTCAGGCGGTGTTTAAATAGTTTAGACTCAAGAGTGTAAATGTAGCCACTTACTTCAGTCAACTGTTCTAAACTAAATTTTGCAAAATATTCCATACTGTTTCAAGGTGCTGTTTATTGAACTGATGTATTGTAAAACAAATTCGTAACGTTGAAAATTATTGTTATGACTTCAATAAATGATCAACCTGTGAAAATTGGCGAATTCCTAATCTCAAATTAACACCAAAACGCAGCTGTTCACATGCACGATATTTGCACGTGTTTTTCTGCAATTTGATGCATGATACTTTGCAATTCACCAGCATACGTTTTGCAATTGGTTCCCCCAAGTTAGTGGAGAAATTTATCTTCGATGTAACCATATACATCTGTATACATAACATATAGTGAGTGCTTTAAGTGAGTCTAGTATATATTATTTTGATGGGTACCCGGTAGTACATATTACTTGTCCATGTTGATGGGCTTATCATGAACATATCCCTAATCAAGAAGAGTTTTTTTCTATGGGTTTCTTTCATCAAAACATCATCGGTGCATGGGGCAAGTGTATCACATAACAAGCAGAATCCCCCATTCGGAGACGCGGGGTGACTGTGAATGATGATGAGAGCGGAAAGGGTCAACGGAGAAAGATTACACTGTGTTGCCTGTGATATACATTGCGGAGGCTGGTAACCGATGGAACTGTTGGTCAAAACAACGGTAAAACTGACTCAGGTGTCCCAAACTAGTTGAACAAAACTCAGATTTCATTAATCAGAATCATATTGTTATTTTCCGATACTTCTTGACGCAAAGATCTGAGAACTACTTCCTGGGAGGTCACAGCGGGTAAACATTCCAATGAGCCAATCAGCGTCGAAGCTTCTAAATGCTCGGTAGGTGACATTCAGACAAGCATATCCGATTTCTATATCTCGAAAACGAAGTTGATCGGCTTGGTCCGAATGTAAACGATAGTGACATGAATAATTTGTTGTTGTTAATTTTCATCCTGTCGTTATAAGTACCATGGCATCTTACATCCGACATTGAGTACTATCGAAGGAGTACTTGTATTCTATGTGGGTTTTCGTTTGTTAAATTTCCCAAGTGACGTGGTACAGAAATGAAACCGAATCGTTTCGGAAATGTGAAATCAGTATCCGCAAAGTTCACCCTATCTTCTAACGAAACCACCCTCCATCCATCTGCCCTCAGATCCTCACATAGAGTGAGTGAGTATGGTTTACGCCGCTTTTAGCAATATCCCAGCAATATCACGGCGGGGGGCACCAGAAATGGGCTTTACACATTGTACCCATGTGGGGAATCGAACCCGGGTCTTCGTCGTGACGAACGGGCGCTTTAACCATTTGGCTACCCCAGCGCCCCTCCTCAAGAAGAGGGCTATCAGAGTATCATATTTGACTGAAATGAGACTGAAACAAAACCCATCCCTCAACATCATCAGCTTTAACCGTCACACCCCCGACCTCCCCAACATTCCTAGCACAAAGAAATACCATGTCGGCAACACTCGCTTATTTCTGTTGCTTTTACGCAGTCTGCACGACTCATATTCCGGAAAAATACGAGTTGCCCCGAACGGAGTTATGAATCTCAAGCACCACCCTACCGTTGATGTCGTACAGGATGAGGTCACGGTCGAGGTCCTGGGGGCTGACGATTCCGTCACTGTCGTTGTCGTTGAAGGCTATAATTCGGTCGATCTTCTCTTGAAATGTTTTTGGTGGGTTGCAACAGAAACTGCAAGTCAGAACAAACCATATTACACAACGGGGCTTCTGTTGAATAGTGATATTTCACCGTGGTCCGATTACTTCCTGGCCCGAGCCTTGATTAGAATTGGTCTTCAGCAACCCATGTTTGTCGTAAAAGGCGACTAACGGGATCAGGTGGTCAGGCTCGCTGTCTTGGTTGACACATGTCATCGTATCCCACCTGCATGGAGCGATGTTCATGTTGTTGATCACTGGATTGTCTGGTCCAGACTTGAATATTTACAGACCGCTGCGTATAGCTGAAATATTGCTGAGTGCGGCATCAAACAACAAACCAACTGCCAGGCTCCGCCACACAAATCTCGTGCAAGTGTAGAATCACGCCCGATGTTGTAGAGCTACGCTACGATCATGTATGTTTATTGTGTCACGTGATAGTCACGTGAATAAAGGTAGCTCGACTGTGTACTGCTGCCTGCTAATCCGAGATGGCCATGTAAGTCGGACCGAGGCTCCAATACATATGCATGAAGTTGCGACCTCAAGCTGAATTTGCATTTCAAAGTGAACCAATTGTATAATAACTCTTATGACTTATGAGTATTTATATTCAGTGACGCTGACACTCTCCTGGCTCTATTTTAGTGAATAAAGAAGGACTAAGTGAAACAAACTGTTGCTGTTCATATACTTACGAGCAACAAGTTTAGGCACTTTGGGAACATACATTGTTGTTGCTGTGAACTCTTCATACGTAAAATAACAATCAACAAACCATAATTCATTTTCATGTTCAAAGAAATCCGATTCCGAGTTTGCAGAACTCCGTGATAAATATGCCAACGCAGTGCTTTGAGCTTGCGATACGATAGTTCAATGTTCAAACAGTAATTGTCAACAAATGTAAGTCTAATGTAACGCTCAATTTGAAAAATAGATTATAAGAGATGGTTATTTTACTCAGATGTATGGAGCATGTTTCCGTCAGAAATGTAGCCCGTCTCGGCGGTCGGACACTCGTACACTGAGTACAGGACATATTGGGTACTTGCGAATTCACTCACCTGCCGCTGGGGTCGTACAGAAACGCCCCCCGTCACCGCGAACACTGCCCAAATAATTGCTGTTCTCAACATCATCTACAGCAAATACATATTAGTTTTTACTAGTATACACGTCATTTAAACAGTTCAAATAAAATCCTTTCAACATATCTAAATCCACATAAATGAGACCACACCGACGTTATGATTACTGCTATTTGATAGTGGTGATAATGTGCCGTTTACTGTGAAACTGAGAGTGAAAGTCACTCAAATATTTTCTCCGGGTGTATGCCTAGATTAAAACAATACTTTGAATGTTTTTTTATAGTAGTCATTGTAATATTTAGAAATCCAGTTGGGTTCACCTGTCGGGTTAAATATACAGTTACTATCTAGCTAAAACCTTCAACGAGAAATAGTGTAGAGTTACATGCGTAGAAGAATGGCTACTGATTTAACTACGAAGACTCACCAATCTCTTAGAGTAATTTGTCCTGTTTCAAACCAGTAAGTGACCGACTGTGTCGCTGTTCCCACCCGGACGAGTCCATCTTCTCCTACGTAAATAAATATCTCCAACAACTCACTCACGTCTACTCCACCCTGTTTCAACATCAACGTGCAAGGGAGCGTCAGCCTCACAACCTCCTCAACACATGAATGTCAATACTACAATGACCAAATACCTCGCACCCGCTACCTCGTGAAACACCTTAAATAGTTGAATCTAAAATAGATTCTGGTTTCTTTAGAGAGAACTTATCAAATAGTTTAATCAATCTACGTTACCTCCTCGCTATAAAGCTGTCACGGGGTCGGTAGAGACGAATATGCCTATATGAGACTGTCATCATCTTATGGACTTGTAACTCTTAACATGATTCAATGCGAAATGCCCAATTGAAGTTAAGCAAGTTTAACTTCCTTTACACATTTGTAACCAGTTTTAGATGTCAATCTAGCTCCAAATTATGCTCCCACGTTCAGTTCAGAAAAGTCTCTTTTAAATTAACAACATCATAACATCGAGTTTATGAAAACATTCAAACGAAAGGAGATTTCACTTCATCAATCTATACTTCTTTCACAATAGGAAAGAGCGTCCGCCCGGAGAGCGAAAGGTCGCGGGTTCGATCCCCGGCCACGTCATACCAAAAGACGTCAAAATATGGTACAGGTTGATCCCTGCCTAGCGCTCGGCATTAATGGGTACAACAAGGACTAGTCAGCTCAGAGTCAGTATAATGTGTCTGAGTAGGGGATTTATGCTTCGCTGCGGCATGGTATCTCAGTGGGCTAGCACTATAAACCAGCTGAAGTTTGGGCTAGTACAAGCAGCCACACATACACACGCATGCACGTCGTCATGTGAGCGAAATATTCTTAAGTACGACGTTAAACCCCATTTCACCTCACCTCACAAACAGCCTCACACGCGTGCATGCATGATGCGCGTGATATGGTATTCATTACTACATGAAGTGAAATAATCCTGATAGACACGTTATTCCCACCTCACCCATGTTATTTCACCTCACCCAAGCTCATTTCACCCCTAACTTTACTTAACCTCAACCCGGCTCTCCTCACCCCCGCCTCACCTCACCTCATTTTACCCTTCGCTTCACCTCGCCCCACCTCGTCTCACCTCAGCCCCGCCTCGCCTCACCTCACCTCTGCTCACCCCACCTTGCCTCAACTCACCTCAGCTCATTTCACCCTATGCTCGATTCCACACATGGGCACAATGTGTAAAGCCCATTTCTGGTGTCCCCCGCCGTGATATTGCTGGAATATTGCTAAAAGCGGCGTAAAACCATACTTACTCACTCACCGCACGCTTCATCTCATCCCCGCCTCGCCTTACCTCACCCCATCTCACCACCTCATTCCACCTCACCTCAACTTCTATACATGACGTTGTTATACGTCACCGTACTATTGTAATATGCTAAACATGCTGAGAGAAACAAATAAATGAACATATGAAAATTCAAGTGTTCCTTTAATATTTTCCAGGTGTCATCACCAGCTTTGAAGAGCGCTGTGGGAGGAAATCTGAGGATATATACAGGAACACTGACTATGAAGTGGCGTTCCCTTATTTGTTTCCTTCAGTATATGTTTGCACGGCTATGTGCATGCCTCCACATGTCATCACATGGCATCACATGGCATCACATGCCTCCACATGGCATCACATGGCATCACATGGCATCACATGGCATCACATGCCTCCACATGGCATCACATGGCATCACATGGCATCACATGCCTCCACATGTCATCACATGGCATCACATGCCTCCACATGGCATCACATGGCATCACATGGCATCACATGGCATCACATGCCTCCACATGGCATCACATGTCACCACATGCCTCCACATGGTATCACATGTCATCACATGGCATCACATGGCATCACATGCCTCCACATAGTATCACATGGCATCACATGTCATCACATGGCATCACATGCCTCCACATGGCATCACATGGCATCACATGCCTCCACATGGCATCACATGCCTCCACATGGCATCACATGTCACCACATGCCTCCACATGCCTCCACATGCCTCCACATGGCATCACATGGCATCACATGGCATCACATGCCTCCACATGGCATCACATGGCATCACATGGCATCACATGGCATCACATGCCTCCACATGGTATCACATGCCTCCACATGGTATCACATGTCATCACATGCCTCAACATGGCATCACATGGCATCACATGGCATCACATGACAGGTTACATTAACACACTGAACATGTTGATTAAAAGGCCTATCTAACGGCTAAAATGTTTCTTTATTAAATACTAATCACCTGCACTTAATAAGAACATGTTTTACATCTATTTACCTTGACAACATTTCAGTCATGTGGCCCCTATCGATACATAAAGGCCGTGTAACATCACCAAATACAGGTATTTCTTCACAGTCTGCGCTCAGTTGCACTCTCTGGCAAATATTGATGTATCTTTATTCCTAACAGCACACGCGCAGTCTGTTGACTGAATCCTAAACATTGATTACAAAAGGTTGAACACACGCGTTTAATGCTAAATATATCGATGATAAAAACTTGTGCATTTGCAGAGCCTGCGTTACTGACTCGAATCTCCTGTCCCTACAGTGTGTACCACGTAAACTTTACATATCTCTTGTTCCTACAGTGTGTACCACGTAAACTTTACATATCTCCTGTCCCTACAGTGTGTACCACGTAAACTTTACATATCTCCTGTCCCTACAGTGTGTACCACGTAAACTTTACATATCCTGTCCCTACAGTGTGTACCACGTAAACTTTACATATCTCCTGTCCCTACAGTGTGTACCACGTTAACTTTGTGTACCACGTGTCCCTAACTTTACATATCTCCTGTTCCTACAGTGTGTACCACGTAAACTTTACATATCTCCTGTCCCTACAGTGTGTACCACGTAAACTTTACATATCTCCTGTCCTACAGTACAGTGTACCACGTAAACTTTACATATCTCCTGTCCGTACAGTGTGTACCACGTTAACTTTACCCACGTTAACTTTACTATCTCCTGTCCCTACAATGTGTACCACGTAAACTTTACATATCTCCTGTCCCTACAGTGTGTACCACGTAAACTTTACATATCTCGTGTTCCTACAGTGTGTACCACGTAAACTTTACATATCTCCTGTCCCTACAATACACAGTGTACCACGTAAACTTTACATATCTCCTGTCCTACGACAGTGTACGTACAATTGTACCACGTAAACTTTACATATCTCGTGTTCCTACAGTGTGTACCACGTAAACTTTACATATCTCCTGTCCCTACAGTGTGTACCACGTAAACTTTACATATCTCCTGTCCGTACAGTGTGTACCACGTTAACTTTACATATCTCCTGTCCCTACAATGTGTACCACGTAAACTTTACATATCTCCTGTTCCTACAGTGTGTACCACGTAAACTTTACATATCTCTCTGTTCCTACAGTGTGTACCACGTAAACTTTACATATCTCGTGTTCCTACAGTGTGTACCACGTTAACTTTACATATCTCTTTTCGCACCTAATGTTCATGTTTGACGACACTTATTTCGCTAGTGTATCTTGGACGTTGACAATTAATTGTAGTAAATATTAAAATCTTTAAACATCATTACAATGTATTAACCAGGTGGGAGACAGGCTATGTGGCTGTGTATCATCGCCCCCCGATGGCGTGGATCAGTGCTCATAACATTATGAGTTAATTAAGACCCCCAGATTGAATACAGGTTGGATACTGCAACCAGAAATACCCTTATAAATGCATATATACAAACCCCGGTTTTCTGTTTCACAATTACACCCTGACAAATGACGTCAAATACATCGTGGGTGGGCTGCTGAGAAGGTGATCTGAAAGAAAGTCACAGGAAAATAAGACATGGGAAAAAAGTTTGGCTAAGAAAAAAAATCACAGGAAAAAAGTCACAATAACCAATTTTATTAAATTCAATAACTTATGTTAATATCATCAAGAATATAAATCATACATTTATAATTAAATAATAAATTCAAGCACTCAGAGATCAATCTAAATTCTTTGTTAAGTCGAATGTTCCACCAAACCCCATACAACATTTGAAAGAGCACTTTATTGGCAAAACACTATGTACTCGCAGTAAACAGACAAACGTCACACAAAATGATTATAGCTAACTGTGGTCATTGTGCTTTTATGACACCTGAGAAGCCACCCAGTAACTACAATATTAACAAAGTAGGCCTATATCAAAGTTGGGAAACTGCCAACATTGACTGGAATCAGTATTCTTCATTGGTCAACGTCAAAACAGCGACCACCTTTGTCACTTTTGGCTTCATCCCATATGAAACCATTGTTCCAAATAATATTACAAGGGGAAAAATACCCCAAACCTCACTCACTCACTCGATGACACGAGTTCCTAGTCGAAATCAGCTATGGTGGTTACATACCGCCTATGTACATTCATCACCTGGTTCATTCAGCCTCGGAATCCAATGTATCTGTACCGATGGTTCGCAAGCTGTTGAATCTATTGCAGTCTGTAACCTGCAGGTCAGAGTTTGTCCCACATGTTGGCAAATACTGAACCTGTGGAACAAAGAGGGGACACGAATTGCAGGGGTGGATAACGTACATGTTGATCCAAGGACTCATTGTACATATCCTCGAACCCCCACAGTGACACTTAAACCAGAAATAACTAACGGTAATCAAATACAAAAACTCTTTTAAAACACTACATCTAAACATTTTATTGACATTAACACATGTTAAGAAAAATTACGTATTATCGTAAAACCCGTTCGACTGGAAAGTTCACCATTTCAGAGGAAAATCTCGATCGCCTGTATACAATTTAGAATATGTAATTTCTATGTACATCAAAATCCGCGAATAATTGTCAGTATATCATATGTGTATTTATTAAGGTGCGTTTACCTGGTAAGTGTGACAGGGTATGTCTCACTGTGTCAGGATATGTCTCACTGTGACTGGGTACC